GACGCGGTTATAACTGCTCGACCCTCCGGACATTTGATGACCGCAATTCTTATAAAAACAAGTAATTTCACATACCTCGTGTCGCATTGAAAATCAAATACTTATCATCAGAGAGATTCACTTCAAGCACGTAGATGCGCAGACTTGCTCTGAACTGGGGAAATACAGACAAACAGCACATAACTCATGCATACATACAACGCATACAACGTTTTCACATTCACACACAAGGAAGCACACGGGTTTGGTGGTATCCAAGGTGCTAGGCGGTTATAGCTCGATGATCTTTGACACTGCTCCACTACTTAAAAACCCTTCAACTCTTGTCAAAACCGTTTATCAGGCCCTTAAGGAACGTGGTTTTTCCATGTCGAATTAGCGAAGAGGGTGATTTGTAGTAGACATCGGCTTTTTGAAATAAGACGACTGAATCCGCCAATCGATTTTTGCAAGTCACTGAATGCGCATCATCCATTGTTCGGTGTGTGTGCGTGTGTGTGTTGAGACAATTGAGTTCATGTGGACCATGTGAGAATCAACGATTTCCATGTGCTCAACCAATCGGTTCCAAGCACCGGATTGGCCAGGCATCTTCTAGTACTTTGCAGACAAGATCTTTCCTATTTAATGCCAACTGCGATGCACTACCGAAATCTTGGATGAAGGTGAAGAAGACGTGTAAATATATATATATCACTAAATCATTATCACGTCTCTATTTGGCCTCAAACCGATTGGTGTTTGGTGATTACGCCAAATTCTATCCGCAAAACCATTCCAGGCTTCTCACACCGTCTTGATTAAGTTTGCTTGCAAAATTCGCTTCGGAGAAAAGTAAATGTGAACTACATGTGCCTGACACGACCATATCTAGTTGGTTACCGTGACCTTCACAAATTTTACTGCGGATAAACAAACTCTATTGATCGAACTCTTTTGGACAAATGGCCTAGTTAGTTGCCGCGCAACCGCATACGTGACTTCTGCAACCGCGACAGGCTTAGTAAAGCCTTACCGGTAAGGCGCCAGATGCAATTTACTCTCGTGGTTTTATAAAATTGTTTTTTTTTTTCGTTTTTGTAAACAAACCTTCGAGCTGGTCGAACGGCCTCCCCATCGTTCGTTGCCATGACAGCTTTGCAGACGCCATAATTTGTTTATTCTAACAACTAGTAACCTCGGCTAGACTAATTGCCTTTCACGAGGTGCACCGACAGACATTACTTCAATGCGTCTCATCGACATGCGTGCCCTGTGTCTGCTGCTGCTGCTGCTACAACTAGGCAGCATTGTGCCTTCTACCATCGCTGAGAGGAATACGAGTAAGTGCTTCTGCCTAAAAATGCGTTACGATTTAAACAACCTAAACGCGTCTTTCATAAACAGACCGCTTTGGTCGGCTTTCTTTAGACTGGCATCACACTACTTTACCGGAGGAAATAACGATCTGGATTGTGAGTGTGTTGCATGAGTCAGACAGTGCTAAAATGGGTCACCCAGCAGATGAGAATTACGGGGTAGTGGTTGTAGTGGACCCCCTCACCAATCGGGTAGCTGGATTTTCACCTTTCGCTGTGGCATTACGGAACTTTGATGACCTCTTATCTCCCGGGTGCGTGATCAATTTGAGTATTTGTCCGTCACAAGGATCCACCAATCGTTTTTGTAAAAAAAAAATCGCACCATCGTAACATTTACTTTACGTTATGGATGCTTATTCGTGCAATGACGCCACTAGGATGCTCCAGATTAGACTATTCTACGGGTGATAGCTTATCCCAGTCGATCAAGGCAAAAATTTGTTTTTGAGTGTAAAATTCGGGTGTCCTCAAAGTGTTATTTGATTGGTTGAACTGCTGCAACATCATAGTTTGCACAGAAGCAAATGCAAAGATGTGTAGTGAATGGCGTTGATTCACGTCCGACAACGTGGTCGTCGCAGCCCCACACACACGTCCCCCTTTTCACGTCGTGCCCGTCAGTCTGCTCATTCACCACCACCCGCTCTATCCATGTGGCCATTCGGACGTGTCTATTTACTAGTCCACTCAACTGTATCAGTAAGCTGTCTAGAAGACGGTTGTGCCTCGTCCTCTCCGGCCTTCTTGATCTTAGCGGGTACTCAGGATAACGTAATCGGCCAAGATTAACGCAGTGGCCCCGGCGTGGTACAAGATAACATGCCGGGGCCCTCAACAGATGCAGTTTTCCTGACCAAATTTCAGAGAGTTCGCTCTTCAAAAAGGGAATATTCTGTTGCCCTGTGCAGAAGTGTAAACTCTTCATCCCTGTCCTGTTGAAGAAGTCTTTGAAAACGCCATCTGTGTGAAGAAACACATGTTGAATGGTTTCTCGCTTGTTTTTGGTTGTGCTCGTGTTTCCAAGGCTTCAATGGAAGCTGACCTATTCTTCGAACACCGGTGTCTTTATTTGAAGGTCGCGACAGCTGAAGGGCTGTCAGCAGAGGCAGACTTCGTGCGAAAGAATTGCAGTCCATCATCACCGGGAGCCCGTCTTGAACTTGAAGCGACAAACGCGTCCTCCACAAGGGGTTCGGCGTTTCCGTCTAGTTTAGGGCACTAAATTCGTCACTTACCACCGTCACCACCAATGAATGCACACGTAGGTCGTTTTAGGGTGTTCGCTTTGTTGTTCTCACAACCTGGTTGGTTCGTGCTAAGAAACAGAGTGCCCCATCGCCACCTTCATCACCTGCCTTGAGTGATGACGAGTTTTCAAAGTTGGACAATCCCTGCGTGCTAATCTCCCTCCGTCATAAGGCCCTCGTGCCGAATTCCAAATTAGGCTGTCTAAGGTCATGTTGATGCTGCCTTTGATTTGCACACTGTTTTGACCTCAAAGGATGAATAGCTCCGAGGATGACTTGCGGGCATGCAAATGAACACCCTCGGAAGCAAGCGATGTCTTTACCATTTAAACAAAAGCGAAAATTCGAATTTCTTTGAGAGGTTCAGGTTTGTATGGTTGTGTTGGCAGGCTAAATGTGTTGTGGTCTTGAACCGAGACCTGGGTGTGGGGATACTCCAAGATAAATATCCGTGTAAATGATGGGGGAGTTGAGGATCCGTGCGGCCAGCGACATGCTGCGAAAAGGGGAACCCTGTGTCGAAGGTGGAGCGACTGGATTAAGGGGTGTGAATAGACACGATCCACAACAAATGCTTCACTCAGCGACTGTGCCAAGTGCTCAGCTTCAGTTCGTACTCAGTGTTCCACGGGTGGTAGATCAGCACCGTGACCTTTGACCCCTGTTCCTCTTCTACATGTCACACGAATGCCTCTAACTCGAAATATCCACTCCTCTTCTACTGACAAAATATCCACTCCTCACCACCATTCCATTCCGCCTGTCTCAACACGTGCTGTTCAAATGGCTCATTGCTCGACTGCAGTCACAACTACTGGACACAATATAAGTCGTAAATCACGAAGGAGGGCGTAGTTCAAGTGGGGGGGGAGCATTGTTTGAGTAATTGCTCAAGGACGCAAACTCATTTGGGGCGGTTCAAATTTCCTTGCACACAATAAACTCGGCGTTTCGGTGCTTAAACAAATCTCACGATGACCCGAGAAGGACACGGCGTGACCTCATCTGTTTGTGTAGGTACAGCATCAACAACCACCCTCATGTCAAATTTGGCTTCAGGGCATGCAGCCATATAAACCTTTCCATCTACCAGCCAGTAACCCCGTTTGACCACATGTTTCATTGCGCATTCTGCCGTTAAGATGGCGACTGTGTCGCGATGGACCAGACTTGCGGTGGATGGAACCACAGGCCCTGTTGCGCGGGTTTGACGTGCCGTAAGCTTCGGGCTGCGAACACCTACGGTCGATGCTCCGCCATCGGCTACCTGCCTCGCCCTACCCACGTGGAAACCCCCACCACCACCACCACCGTGCCGATAAGATGCGACCGTCTTTCCACGTGACCTTGCCCTTCGTGTTCTCACCGCCATCACCACGA